ATGATATGACAGGATTATGTATTCGTGATAGTAGTCGTTTATAGCTAGTAAGAAAAACGGTTAAAGTGGCACTTGACTCTGCAGGGTAAATTAATACAGTTTGCTAATTCGAGATGATATACTGCGATATTGTCAGTATCCTGCGGTCGTTGTGCAGAACATTCAATCGAGAGATGCAATTTTGAGCCTCTCCTTGATATTCCCAGATGAACGTATTCGACAAACTGCATACCGTTTGGACACTCGGGAACTACGCCTACCTGATGAAGCCTAAGAAGGTAGGGGGGAGGGCGAAACCGGTAGTGGGCTGTATATTTCACCCGACTCTACTATACTCCGCTGTACTCTACTGTTTCATGAATTACTGCACTGTGCTGCACTGTATCACACCGCACCATACTACACTGGTTTGTATTAACTGCTCCATATTCTGTTCTGTGTCTTTACAAAGCCCTGGGGGATCCGGACTATGAGGCCCGACTTCGGGAAAAGATGGGTGGAGATAGTTCTTGAAAGAGAGCGGTAAAAGCCACCTTTTCATGGAACAACCTATCATACCGATTCCAGCCTTTTCATCTGGCGTGCCAAATGGCTGTTTTGGTCAGGCTTTTATTCCGTTTTGGACGCAGTTGCTCTGTGTCTGAGCTGGAGACCACTCAGTGGTCAAGGTGTAAACCGGGAGGTTTGTGGTTCGAACCCAACCCCTGCAACTCGACTGTCCATGTCTAGACTTGGCCCCCCAGGCTGTATTTGGGTCCCCATTGGTGAAAGAAAGAAGGCCTTCGCTATGGAGTTATTTATTAGAAAATGCCAGGGGAGCAAAACTCTCATATGCATCTTGTTCAAAAAACTGAATATCCATCTTCTTGAACGCGTCCTCCTGAACTTTCCTGGATATTCATTGTCTGTTACCCAGTGGCAAGCAAATGCTACGGAGCGACTCCACAAATTCCGTAATAGATCTCACTTTTCAAGAGACGCAAAGCAGATTTACGAGGAGTTACGCACTACTTGCATGCCCCCACCAGTAGCATCACCGTTTGGGGTTCGAACCGAACCTCGGCATCTCGAGTGTCCATGTCTAGACTTGGACACCCTGGCTGCACCTGAGTCCCTACTGGTGGTATGGTAACTGTGCACCAGAAAGGTGTTTCAGCTGAATTATTATTATTATTACTCTGTTATTCCAGTATGGATTTCTCCTCAGTCCTAAGATAATCGATAAGATGCGCAACAGCTGTATCTTGCATTGCTTTTCCTGTGTAGGAAGGCCTCCACCAAGAAACCTGTAGAACACTCATCAAAGGAGCAAAAAGTGGCCGATGCGCCCACACACAGGCAGCGAAAGAGTTTACAGGTAAGGTTTTCCCAGCTGGGTCTGTTCACATTTCATGGTTCCCATTCAACTTGTGTGCCCCTCTCCCATATGACAGTATAGGTATGAAATAAGAAGATTTCCTTGTCTTGCCGGACCAAATGAATAAACTACCATGCTGACCGAGTTTTGAGGTTGACAGTAATGAGTTGGATCGTCTACAAATAACCCATCTAATCAATGTTGAAGTCTTGTCAGAAGCTGTTGATCGTTGGTTTGTGGACGGTTTTTCTTTGTGCACCACCGATTCTGTTGCGCAACTCCCTGGTTTTTGGCAGTTTATTTAGTTTACACTTCCCCCAGTTCTACCAAGCGGAGGCAATACTTCAACTGCACCAACACTGAACGCAAACTTTTTCCTTTATCGAATGCTACTCTGTTGTTAGCCGTATTCTAATGACTTCGGATATCCCTGTTCCTATCCGCTCCTGATTCGGTCTTGGCATCGGGGCCAGTACCCGTCTTAATGGCCGCTCAATGAAACCCACTGCATTCCCGCTTTCTTTTAGTTTCTTCCTCATTCAGTTTGCGCCGCTGTTTGGTCGACCACCTCGTGAACAACGCTTTTTCTCGACTAAAGATTGCTAAAACTATACTGGCGTATTTTGCTATCGGATGCGCTGATGAGCAAATTATGACCACATCATTGCCTGCTGGTTTCTGGTAGATAGTAGTTTTTAATTTCCAGCCACTGTTTTGTGTCATGCCGTCTAGGGAGGACAGCGTACCCGAAGTAAACTCTCGTTCCGACTCGTGGTTTAGTGCCGACTGACTGAACCGAACTCCTGTGTTACCAGGTGACCTGACATTTACTGTGAAACGGAAACCACCTTCAGCTGGAGCATCTCTCTTGGCCATCAGATTGTTTTGGTTCACCGGACTAATCGATAGGGGTCAGTTGACGGTTTACTAGATGAACCCGTCTAGTATAGTTATCACTCATCGCTTAAGGCATGGACTAAACATAGTTCCTCGTTCAACACTGCCAATTTTTAAACTCTAACGAACCCCTAAGCTTGTGGTTCCTTTTTCAGATGTCACAAATCTACGAAGAACTGGATTTTCTAAATGCACCAGGAGGCGCATGGACACAAGGATTTCCGATATCTTATAACCTCGATCAGTGGGCTGAAAAACCGCTGGAAGTTTTCCTCGTGCCACATTCCCATCACGATCCAGGTACTGGTATTTCCAAACGGCCTTAAAAGCCTACAGTTTTTTAATGCTTTACCCCTCCTCTTCTGACCCAGTTTTGTTTGCTAATTTAGTGGTACTTTCCACCGTAAAAATGGAAGATAAAACTATTCACTCGGAGTTGATTGTTGGTCTTTCGAAGAGACAATGTAGCGGTCTTCTTTGTCGCCGAAGGATGAATTTTTATTCGCTTGGATGATCACCGGAAACAGTTTGTTTGTACTCAAATCTCAGTCCAGCTTTCTCTCGTCTGAAACACCCTCTCTTCTTGTAATAACATTGTATACTTCTGGTTAGTACACCACCCGTTTCGCACTCTGACACATTCAAGCGCTAGAGATCTCCAAGGTCGTCGTCGGAAGCTTGCTGTTCAACAAAGCCGCCTGTGAAATCGCCCATGGAAGTCTCTACTTGGTAATATCGTTTGTACGGCCTCTCGGATGACATTGCAATTGAGATTCGATCAAGATCCCTAGGACTTGAACTTATTGACTGCACCCGAATCACTCACTGGGCTATTCTTTGAGATGAGAATCCAATGAACCATCGTCTTTGGGGAATACCAAATGATAACATAGAATACCAATCATCGCGATAGCAATACTGCTAGCCTTTGACACCCTTTTGACGCTCAGCAGCTATGCAACCCGAAGAAAACACCAAGGCTTATCTTCTGCCAAATTGTACAATCGCAAACAGGAGCGTCCGCGAAGAAAAGTTTCGAGCTTCCTACGAGGAATATCCATTAGGTTGGAGAACTGTGAAAGAAAATTCGATCATACCAGAGCGCTCACGCTGTCTGATAATGACCTCTGCTTCGGCGTGACGTATTGTTATGACATGAAGAATCTAACTCTGCAATCGAGCTTCATTACCAGACTAATATGACACCCCGAAAGATGAGTGGGATGGTTTCTTCGTCCGGTATTGATATCAAGTTGTTTCTGTCGGAGTCGCGCTGCTCCGTCGTTTTCCTCCTTCATATTGAAGACTTTCAGATATGATAGTTAACTTTCTTTTCGTTCATCCTAGTCGAACGACTAAACAAAGTACAATCAAGATTTCATCCTGCAAGTGAAGTTTGTTCTGTATCGAAAAATACTCTCCAGCCGTTTACTCCTTGTTGGCACTCGATGGCGTGCTTCTCACCTATGTCTAGAAGAGTCCGAACCCTTGCAGTGCATCCGATCTCCCAAAGTTTGTCGAAACAACACTCGACCGCTTAAAGTAGGTACAAGGACAAGTGGGTTTCCGAAGCATGTTACCCACAGCGTTCATCCCAACGCTTTTTTTGCCTTGGGGCCTTATTACTGTTGGTTGTTCTACTACCTCGATCAGTAGCAATCGGAGTGCCACACAACCACTTGTGCTTTTCACTTGATACTTAACACACCCGTGGCTGTTCATTGCTCACTGTACCGAATTTGGATCGATCACGTTGCTCTGCTGATCTGGGCTTGAAGAATCTACTGACGTGTATACGACTGCTCATCTAAGCAGTTCAATAGGCCCATGTGTAATAAGCTCAAGTGTAGACCACAGCGCTTGACCAACAACGGTGTCATAAGGGACAAAAACAGCTGAGCTACAAGAGGCGAGATGGCCCAAGTGGTTAGAGCGCGAATTTACTGACCGGAAGGTCCGTGGTTCGAACCTGACCTCTACCTCTCGACTTCCCCTGTCTAGGCTTGGGCAACCTGACAGTATCCCAGCCCTCGTGCAACCTTCGGGTGGCATGGCAGTAAGGCACTGAAAAGGTGCTACAGCTGAACGAAGTCTGGTGATGTTTCACGATTAAGCTGGTGGGAATCAGATGATCCAGTGTCGAGTGGAAAGACAATCTCATCCGAATTTGTCTGGTTTGTAGAACTTGTTAGGTCCGTTGTGCATCTGGCAATAGGTATCCCCAATCGCATTCGGTTTATGCGACAGCGGCGGCACCAGAAGCATAATCATCATCAGCAACAGCAGAGCGAGCTCAGCAACTTATTTAGAACCAATTTGATTGAATTTGATCGAACGTATTTTGCAGTATCCGCACATGGAAGCTAAAACCCTGGACACAACTAATTTGTAGAGCCAAAGGGCAACATGTGAACTGAAGATGAAAAGGAGAGTTCAACTATTATTCGCCGGTGTGATCGTTTAGATATCAAGCGAACCTTTTAGTCTGTCTGAGCGAGACGAAGTTACTTAATTCCTTGTCATTCAGTGTGTCATTTGAATGCCATCGTGGAGGTTCATCGTTCAGCTTAGCTGCAACACCCTTTCGGTGCCTAGCTGCCATGTCACCCAGAGAAAGCATGAGGGCTGGACTACTGCCAGGTTGCCCAAGCCTAGACCAGGGAAGTCGAGTGGCAGATGTCGGGTTCGAACGGCGGACTTTCCCGTCGGTAAATTTGCGCTCTAGCCACTTGGGCCATCTCGTGAAGGTTCATGCAACCTGCGGCCACTGTTGAACGACGCCATCCACGTGAACCAGTTTTTACTCAAACTAGTTTTAGCTAATGATGGATTAGCCCCAGGTGTTACGCTTCATACAAACAGCTTTTCTATGTTCTCAGTCTGTTTTCGTTTTTCTTCCAAGTAACTTTTAACCGCGTCACAGCCCATACCTGTTTTGATTTGAAGAGTATGTGAGTTTGAAGGTGGGCAACCATTGAGAGATGTGCGGCCATTGCTTGAGAGCCGTACTTGTAACAATCAATATGAACTTGTGTGATGTTGAAACATTCGGTCATGCCGTTATGGTGCTCTGAGAGGTTTCTCACTCATGTTGCACAGTTGGTGTAAGTGATTTTCCTGCGCGCACCTTTTTAGGATATTACGACACGCGATATAATTAAGTGGTCAAGGCGTAAGGTAGTTCGACCTCAACCTTGGATTCTCTCGCTTTTTCTTGTCGGAGTCTGGGCAGCTTGAGAGCATCTTGGCCGGCATACTCCGATTGGGAGCTGTGCACCGAAAGAGTGCCACCGCCGAACGATCTATTCATCTTTTCTTGTTCGACAGTGTTCAGAACTTCAGCCTCATGCATTGGAATGATCAGGATGTGTTTGTGGAGAGAAGGTGGATACGTTCTGATTGTACTGATAATACAAATTCCAAATGATGATCTACAGACATTTCTGGCCTCTTAGGAATCATCTGCCTTGCACACATATTTGTACATGGCCGTTCAGACCTGACCGCCTTCTGCCAATTTCTAATTGGCAGAGGGAGTTGGTGCAACTCACATCTCCGTGTGGATTCCACTTGTTGACCAATCAGTCGTGCATACCCTTTTTCATTATGCATACCTGTGTAAAACGGATTATTGTAATCGGTTCTCGCCAGATGGTTCTTTGATCACAAGGTTACTTCGGGGTTTTAATGAGATTCAACCAACCAAGCCTCCCCAAGTCAGTCGCCCTCTCTTCGCTCAACTTCCAAGATAAGTTGCGCGCCAGGTCAAGTAGGCGAATACGAGAAGCGAGACTTCGACCGATATTGGAAGTTGGAGAGCGTCGGCGATATCCCGAACTTCATCACCTACACACTTGAATCCAGCTGAACTAAAAAAAAACCAAGAAAAAGCACACATCTGTTTCTCCGTCCTATAATCAACCATGACTTGGTACTGATTGTGGTTGAATGTAGTGACTACCCTTACGACTTCACGCACCTGTGGTTAGTTGAAAGCGAAATTGTTCAGCTGTACCACCCTTTCGGTGCCTAGCTGCCATGCCACACAAAGGAAGCACGAGGGCTGGAATACTGCCAGGTTGCCCAAGCCTAGACAGGGGAAGTCGAGAGGCAGAGGTCAGGTTCGAACCACGGACCTTTCATTCAGTAAATTCGCGCTCTAACCAATTGGTTAGTCGTTGGCTGCAGCTTAGCTGAACGCCTCCAGGTTGAACGTCTGCTGGCTACTTGGTCATGCAATCTGATTTGTGGAGTTACCGTCACCTTTGATTAAAGGTCTGTTCTCTGAATGCGAGGGCAACTGGCACTGTGTTAGCTACGAGTGTCCTTTTCAGGAACTGGGGTTACTCATGAGCTGTGTATAATAGTGAACTTCCTGCATTGCATTACAAGTTGCAGTCGGTTCAGTTCGCACCATTCCTTACCATCAAAAGACACGTGTTGATGTACACAGTCTTGTCACATTTCTAGCTGTCGACGTTCAGTCTTTCACACTGAGGTTTATTGCTTGAACGGGTGGCCTGATACTTAATTCGCGTACTGTACCACATCGCCAGTGTTTCAACTAGCTAGCCTACGTAGTAAAAAGTTTTGCAAACCAAATAGTACTTGGAGGCGAGTGAAAGGCTTCCTAACAGGATCCCTTCTTCTCTAGCTAGATCCACAAACGCTGCCAAACTGACGATAATCTTCTACATTATTCCGTGATAATAGGCCACCTTGGTGCAGTGTTGTTACCTACTTTCCCGGTAAAACTTCATCTCTCACGAAGCTAGGTCATCTCAAGGAGAGTCAAGTAGCCTTTTCTTTGTGGTTGTCTCTTTTAGGATAGACCTAGTATACAGAGAATTTTCATCAGTGTATATCTCAGTCAGCCGTCTATTTTCAGACATCTCCATTAAGCTTGGTGGGTCGTGTAGTGCGTAAAACGAGTTATTCATCTAGACCGTAGCTTCACTGAACAGAAAGAAGCACAAACGGCCAAACTACTACCTAGAGAGGAGTGATTGTGGTGTCAGGCGTGAACCCAAACCCAGGACTTTCCAGTGAGTTTTCCGCACTACCTCTACTCAATCACTAATGAGTCTGTTTGGTTGAGTTTCACCGCAAGAGAGGATTTTCAGTCTCTCATCGGAGCGTGATCTCCTTTCTGATGTAACACACACGGATGCGAAGCTCTATAGGGAAGTGATCTATCTTCAGAGGGGTTTTCTCAGCGAGAGTGTGCCACACATCCCCGATGCTTATAAGTCTCTCGCTTGCATGACATTTGGGGTTAAGACAAAAGTGAAGCCCTACAGAGTAGATTTTCCCGCTTCCTGATGCATCACTAGGAAACAATGAATGTTGGGGAGCCTTTCAAAACTATTTGTGGTGCTTCTCAGCTCCCTGAGGATTGCTGTAACTCGTTTGGTTATCGAAAGGTGTACGAACCATCTATAAGTTGGTTCAAAAAAAGCCTCTTGTGTCGTTTCATCAGGATGGATAATGACGCTCGAGGAATATTTCGAAATCAAGACAAAGAAATGTTTGGACTCCACACTGAAGGTTTTGGAAAGCCGTTCCGATGCACGCTTCTCATACGCGGAGATATCTTTCTTCAGTATGTGGGTTGCTGGTCTAAAAGAAGACGAGAAAAATCGTGTGAAAAAGTGAGTCCAGTTCGTTCGGTTTGGTGTATTTCTGTCCGCTTTTTACTCGTCGAATTCCCCCCAACACTCATTCACCCACGTAACCTGTGTACCGACTTTTTAAAGAATCATTTCTCCTAAAGCAGACTACTCGCAAGGTTGCTGAACACCCTTCGACAGCCCACGACCGGTTTCGCCTTTCTTGGAGCTCATCAGCAACCTTGTGAATAGTCTCCTTTATGAAATATACTGCGATATCTCGAATATCGCATCAACTGAAACATGAGGCGGCCTTCAGTTGAAGAATATCATAAACAAGAGATTCAGTTAAGTTCCCCGTGAAAACCGAATTGAGTTGCAAATGAGTGTATTTCTCGAAAACAGTCCAATTTGGGTTCAAGTAGAACATAAGGTTGACGGAATCTCGGGGACTGCACCTACCTGATGAGCCCCAAGAAAGCTGAAACCGGTCGTGGGCTGTCGAAGAGTTTTCAGCAACCTTGTGAGTAGTTTCCTTTATGAAAATATACTGCGATCTCTGGAATATTGCACCAACTGAAACATGAGGCGGCCTGTGTGCAGCACATTCAGTTGTAGAATATCATAAATGAGAGATTCAGTTGAGTCTCTCGTGAAAAACCGAGTTGATTTGCAAATGAGTGTATTTATTTCTCCTGTTGGAAATATCATCTACGTAGTGTGTATCAGAAACCCACATGAACAAGCTAGTTCGTAGCTTTGTTCCAACCAAAAGAAATCCCGTTTACTACTTGCGTGGCAAAACTGAAATAGGTTGTTGCGTGAACACTGATTAAGCAACAAGTGTGTGTCGACAAAATGACTAGCCAGAATGATTTGTGGTGAGGTATTTGAAATTGAACATTCTGTGCAGGGAGTATAATAACCTTAGCTGCTGTACCTGTGTTCTGCTTCCAAAGGTCTTGTGATTAGTAAAATGATGACGCTGAGACTAGAAAACAGACTAGCCACAACATGTTGCGCCACACGTCATAATCAGGTGAGAGCGATTCCATCATCGAACCACGTTTATGTGTGTTTATGAATTTTTTCGGCTCCCCTCGGGACAACTATATTACCAGAGAGTGCTTGAACACATCCAAAAGGCAGAGTGAACGATGACACAATGTGTAAGCAGTTTTTATATCTTCCATCTTCTTGACACCTGAAAAAATGAGTGACCGCTTTTCGGCTTTTCAGGTTGCCGACTTTTATATGAACCAATCCCCTGTTTATCCCAAAAGCAACTTGCATCCGTAGTTTCAGGCCTTTTCACTCAAAAAAAAGCTTCTGTACAGGTGTTCAATCTCACGTGGCTGGATAAGCATTTATACGCCTCACGTGACCCGCCGAACCGACATCACTTTTATCGGATTTAACCGTTGATTATCGATTTTTAACCGGATCGACGTGAACTGGTTTAGTGAAGTTCATGGTTGTACACAACTAGACGGGGCCGTCAAAGTCCTCAACCAAACGTTTGGCTCAAATTCGTGACCTGAAGGCCGCGGGCATACCACCATAGAAAAAATGTACCCAGTCAATCCCCGCGCTGACGTCATATCGAGTGGGAACGTCTGCAATACAGCGGCCAAGCTCGGAAAATAGGCAAACCACCAATATTACAATAGTATTACATGTCTCCAACCTACAGCGCATGATCTAACCCTCAGTCTGGACGGCCAGGAGACTGTTTTTAAGCCTCTATCTGGTGACCAACCTGGGATGAGAGACTCTGGATGTCAAAGTGAGACATTCCAGCATGGCTCAGGGCCATAAAGGTACGCAAACCACGATAAGGTTCGATCTCTGCAAAAAAGCTCGAGAGGATTCACTGGTTAAGGTACGAACTTACTGACCGGAAGGTCCCCGTGGTTCGAACTCGACCGTGGCATCTCGACTGCTCCTGTCTAGGCTTGGGCAACTTGGTAGATTGTCGGCTCTCAGGCTTCCTTCGGCTGTCTTGACAACTAGACACCGAAAGTTGTAGTACAGCTGAACCATTATATATTAGTATATTCTCTGCAAAACAATGAGGTCAGTTCAGGTTCGTCGTGATGACATAATGAGGCGGGCGATGGATGTTCTTGAACATCGCGGTATTCAGATCGTTTCTGGTGAGAACTTTAATCATTCGGAGTACGGAGACGGCAGTGTCCTGATCTTTCAAGACGAAGGATAAATACAGGCGCACAGCAATGTCTTTCGACATAAGCCTTGCACTTACAAAATGCATAGTCTCATGCCTTAAGGTATGCAGTCTCTGAATAGTTCCTTTGCGATTCAAGGAGAATCACCATCGGAGGTTGTAGAGAATTCCACATACCCCTGCGGTTGTTGTGTTGACGGAAGTGTTTCTGACGGAGTTTTTGCTCGAATCTCGAAAGCCGTCTGCCAGTTTGCGTCAAAAAGGCATATCACTGGGTCTTAGGGATTGCACGTACCAGGCCACAATAAGGACGGTGATTTTTAAAATGTCTAAGTAGCAGCGCCATAGAAGAGCTCTTCTTCGCGGGACTGATTTTTCTCACTCTATGATGGGAATGTTTCCCAAAAACTGGACACCGAAAGTTCGGGGTAATCAGCTTGTCAGTCAGCCTATTGGTCATTCTGTTCACGGAAACAACTTCATGTTCCTTCCCACAACCAGAACAATAATGTATATCCACGGCAATGAGTAACACGTTTGGAACTCAAGGAAGTTGACACTGACTTGTGAGCATTTAACTCTCAAAGGAGATGAAATTGTCTGCCAGACGAGTATCCAAAGCGTGCGAACACTTTAAATGCTTTAGGTATTTACTGAGGTAGTGCGAACCCGAATTTTCGGGAACTTATTCGTACATTCTACTGCGCGGAACATTATTGAGTATCTCAGCTACTGTCCTACTCAAAAACATTCAAAATTATCATCAAGCCAACGGGATCGAGATAGCTCTGTGGTTAGGGCACGAACTTACTGACCGAATGGTCCGTGGTTCGAACCCAACCTCGCCCTGTCTACCGCTCCTGTTTAAGCTTTGGCAGTACCCCAATCTTCGCGCTTCCATCGGTTATCGTGAGAGCCATGCACCGAAATGGTGCTACAGTCGGACGACAACGACGACGAACGGCCTCGAGATGGCTCGATCGTCAAAGCGCGAAATTCCTGGCCGATCTGTCCGTGGTTTGAACCTAACCCCAGCGTTTCTCCTGTCTAGGCTTGGGCAACCTAGCAGTATCACAGTCCTTGTGCTTCTGTTGTGGTTTAGTTGTCCTTCGATTCCATTCAACCGCTGCGTGGTCGTAAAGTTCAGTCGGATTTTGCAAGTCAAGGGCTGGTCTGATTGCGAAGCACGCTTTCTACTTCAATTTACCAGCTGCTCAAACTCGTTGGAGATAGCGTTATCTTCTGGCAATCAGCTTGATACATGACTAATTTCCTAATTACCTGATGAAAGTCGCTTCATAGTTGGGATTAGCCAAAGTAAGTGTGGGGAAATGGTCATCCTTTTTTGCGACCTGAGTTGAGACCTTCCAGATAGGTATGTGCTACGCAGTTCTGACTGTCCAACTTGGTGGGTCGGGATCCCGTTTCTGTGGGCATCTAGAAACGTGACCGAGGGACGTTCATCTACTGGGGTAAATTTTTTCATGGATCATACTGTCCTCTAGTATACCATACTATACCCTACTGGCTATACCATCCTACCCTCTTCTTCATCGACTATCCTAATTTTCAAGGTTTGAGCACGCAGCCCGGCTGCGATTCAACTAAATGCCAATAGACAAGCCTGTTACAATGGAAAACTGAAAGTTTTGTCACGCGAAGTTCTCGGTTGCTCTTCTCGTCATCCAGCTGGGCATTAGATGAGATTTATTGTACTACATTATTGGCATAGTTCTGGTCGGTAATGTTCCGGTTGCCGGTTGTTAAGAACCGATCGATAATGTGCCGTATTCGGAGGGCGCCTTTGCCAGGTTCATCTGTACCGTACTTTTCATCTGAGCTTGTTTGTTCCCTAAGAATCCCTCTACCAACTCTTGCTTTAGGTTGTTGAACAGTGGTCAGCTGGAAGTCGTTTCTGGTGGTTGGGTCATGACAGACGAGGCAGCTGGACATCACTACGCCATGCTGGACCAACTGATCGAGGGACACCAATGGCTGTTGGAGAACTTTGGTATGTTCCATCCCACTGCTGACTGCTCTTGGAGCGGCAATAGCCACGAGCTTTGTGTTGAAAAATAAAGTTTTGTTTATCCACTTTTGTCTATTCGTACGTCTGTCTATCCATGTCTTATTCCTTGAAAATACAGTTGGCAAACCGACACCAACACAGTGACAAAAGCAATGGTAGGAAACAGTAATTCAAACATTTGAATGTTCTCGTTAGGTCAGCAGATTGTGGACAAGATGTGTGAGAAAAATTGACATGGGAAATGACGCTGTGTACAAACAAAAACGAGAATGGAAACCTGGTGGCTTCTCAAAGGACGGAAGCGATTTTCCCTCCATTAAGTTGTTTTATGAGCAGCATGAAGAGGATATTCGAAATTGGCCGCTAACTCCTTCCCGGTTTCACACTTTCCCGAGCTGTTTTGGAGTGTCCTTGTAACCTATGTGGAACATTCCTTTGAAATGTGCAAAACACGGGGAACCATTGCGCTACATATTTGGCTAAATTGCATCTCAGTCGAGAGCCTCCCTCGAAAACGGTTTGTGTTTGCTTCGTCAACCCTAATGATCAGCTGATGAAATCTTCAAAGTGGTCCTGAAGGACTTGGTCAGCAAGAATTGTCACCAACGCTTCCTTCATCAAGACTAATGAAGGCTTTGTCTTGGTCCGGGAGCAGTATGAACACCACTTCGCTGTTATCTACTGGCTTATCGCCTTGTTACTTTCAGATTATGAATATCCAAAAACAAGTTGAAGAAGATGAACTGTTTCCATGGTTGGAGACATTGTCAGACATGGCCCAGTCGCGCCCTCAATGGCGCTCATGCATCCAAGCTATTGCCTTCAATGCATAGCTCTTTTTCCAACCCCCCACTTGACAGCCCACTGTACCTATCCCCCCCCAAAAAAAAACATCGGTGAACGAAACTGCGGCAGCTACAGCCACTGTACGACGAGTACGCGGTTATTACAGCTGACAATGATGATGATGTTTCCATCTATTTGTTTAACGAGTCTTCCTACCCTAATCTTTTCCATGGACGTGAGAAACCCTTCCGAAGGGAATACAAAACAGTACAACCTGTTTTGTTGTACGGCTGTGAGACGTGACTTTTTCGAGCAGCGAAACGGAGACGTACTTATGTCTTCGACAGCTGCCTCAGGACCATAGCTCGTCTGGGGGGTGATGTTAGTGAATCTGTAAAGAGGCAATTAGAAAACGAGTGTTCGGTTGTGCAACGGGGATTCCAACATTTTATCTGGCAGTGGAGTGTGAAACAGGTTTATTCCAACCTTTTATCTGGCAGTGGAGTGTGAAACAGGTTACGAAGAGTCTGGGTGATATCGGTGTGTCTCACCTTCCAGAATAGGAACCGCGTGATCCCCATCGCGCTTGGTTGAGGAGGCTTCAAGACATATCAGCTAGTCAATATCAGTGGCGTAACTATTCTCAGTTTCTATCGGAAAGTGCTCCATATAATCCGATATCTGGTGATGACCGTTTCACCAGCCCTTCGTTTTCAGGCCGATTTAGACTCGCAGACATGGTTCACTGCTCGGATTGCTCTTTGGACAGTGAATATTTTATTTTTAGTCGGTTGGTGATCTGTTGAGCGTTTACTTACCTACCATTTTATTGCTCACTCGAATACTTCTGTTGTTTGGAGGCAAAGGTAACGATTGTGGTAGCATCCCAGCCCTCATGCTTCTTTCGGGTAGCGTGGCGGCCAGGCACCAAAAGGGTGTTACAGCTGAACTTTTGTTGTTATTCTTTTGACGACTGTCGATCTATATGCATCGTTTCCGCTGGAAACCAATTTTTCAATCCGTAGGACAGGTTTCGTCAACATCTTGATGTCTTGATGGAGTACCGCACGTAATGCGTCTGGACTACCTTGTAGGCTATGGCATCTGCAGCACTGAAATAGGAAGGTATGATTTTCATAAGGGAAACTACTCATAAGGTTGCTGAAAACACTTCGACAACCGACGACCGGTTTGGATTCCCTCTTGGGGTCCTCAAGTAGGCGCACTCCCCGAGCTTCCGTCAATCCCATGTCCTACTCGAACCCCAATTGCACAGATCTCGACAAACTGGCTTTCGCAGGAGACTCTATTGAATCTTTCGTTTGTAGTGTATCATCGGTATCGGTCAACATGTCAAGAGATTCGTAGCCCAGGACTGTCCATTCGATCGCGTCATAAGTACGGAGCTTGCAATAAACGAAGGTTGTACAGTCCCGTAGAATCTCGGAAAAAGGACAGACTATTTGTGAAATTCTAACATGTCAGCCGTGACTAGCTTGAATTTTCCTCAAAAGGGAACAGACACAATAGCGTTTTCTATTTCTAGGCTCTAAATGTATTCCTCTGAGCAGATCGATGAAGCTTCTCTTCTTGCTAAGGTACATGCCTCTGCGGTTTTTATTTCAAACTGGATAACGCACGCAAATGTGTATTTGGGACCCTTGGTGAAGATCAGTCCCATGCATGTCCTTTCATACGTTTAAGAAACCATCTTCTACTGTTTAACGTATTCGCATCGTCTTAACCCCTTGCACATGATCAGATTATAGACCGAATGTCAGCTGGTCCATCGATCCTTTTGGTCACAGTCCAACAATGGCATACCTGAACAGAAAAATGCGTTTTTCCGCTATGGTAGTACAACGCGTCCATTATGAGGTCAAAAAATATTTGGCGAAACGTCAGTCTTTGGAATTCAGCTGGCGTCAGTACTGGGGTGAGTGCGCGTTGTTTGTTTAGCCTTATGTCGATTTTTCTACCTATTGCTGTTAGACTGTATCAGCTTAACTAGGATTTTCACACTCCAGGTTTTGCTGTTTTTGGAGAAAAGTAACCGCTACTTTCCAGCAGCTTGTGCGTGCCGATGGTGTATGAATCTGTAGAGCTGGTGAAGGGAAGCCGCTCCTTTGGCAGGCTATTCAACCCCTTTTCCGTGGCGCTTTTTCATGGGTAGGTCAGGGAGATCTGGTGGCCGTTTCGTGATAAACATACCGTACTGTGAATGATTCCGTGATCGAGATTATGAAAACACGTGAGGGGCTCTACCTCGTATCAGACGTAATCGGTCCAGACGCGCAACTGTCATGGGTGACGATCGAAGTCGGCTCCATCCACCTGAGATTGTCCACATACGCTTGCCTTCCGACCTCATCATATGGTTTGGGCTCTCGTTCACCATCGCCTCAGCTATTGAAAAGCCACACTGAATTGTGACTAATATTGTACGCAAGAAGTCGTCCAGAGCCACGAGTAATAAGTTTTAGACCCCGCCTTGACCACACTTTCAGTCACTTCGCCTAGCACCTTTCTCTGATGACACTTTATTGAGTTGAGAATTTACAGCTACTGTGGAAGTTAGAATAACTGAAGAGCCACGAATTCCCATCCATCGGAACATCGGATTAGCAATACTGAGATACGCCAGATGGTCTTAGGAAGAAGGAAGTTCCCACTTCATGCGTTACGATGGTTGGAACGTATACTCAGCATGCCAAAAGATCGTCTTCTTCTTAGAGCTCTTTTCGCCCATCCCTGTGCTGAGTGGAAGCGACCGAGAGGTGGAAAGTGTATGACCACGCAACGAAGTAGGGAAACACTAACCAGTAAACTGAGTCGAGTCGGCAACTGCCACCTCCTTGGATAAGGACCTCGGGACTCAAATCACCAGTGGCTATTGACAGTGGCAGAAATGGGCCATTCGCTTAGTCAGTGACGCTCGTGCACCAAAGCTGTCGCCTTCAATACGTAGCTACCCGATTTCTCCGAACACACTGAATATGTCTTCGCCTCCAAGGCTTGGTCGTGTGTCCCACACTCCTGTTTTCCGGTAGCAGCTGGAACCATTGGTACACGGTTTTGAATTGTACCCCCAGTTGTTTTTCATGGTCTTGTGACTTCCACACCTCACACCTCCCTCACTATGAAGTTTTCGTCTCCTCTAGGACCCCAGTCGTACTATATCTTAGTCACTCTCAGTGCAGAATAGCCTCCCCTTTCCGTCGATTGTGGTTATTTGCTGCCAGTGTAAGCTTGCGCTATCCGTTTTTAACATCCTGTCTGTGTAATTGTTTCTTTTCACGCTTCTTCCATGTGCGTTTGGCTCGTTCGCCGTTTGACTCATTCAGACAATGACGGTCATACGGACATACTAGCTCACATGATGCCGTTCTATTCTTACGACGTCCCGCACACTTGCGGCCCGGAACCTGCCGTTTGCTGTCAGTTCGACTTTGCCCGACTCCAGCAGTTTAAGTGTCCTTGGAAATTCCAACCTCAGGTAATCACACAGAACAATGTGGATGAACGGTAAGTTTGTGTCATCCTGTGTTTGCAAACGTATTTGGTAGACGTTATCGCTAGGACAAGTCCCTAATCCTTAGGCGTCTTAAAGGTTTCTAGATTCGATTGTCGTAGTGTCAGGTTTAGTATGTATATAGCCTCGAGTCGGTTTTACCCCCGGAGCATGAAGTTTACGAAGAAGCTGGAAGTGATCTGCGACCACCATTGTACAGACCAAGTTGGTTTTTGACTGGTACTAGCTGGCCAAGTATGTGCGTAGGGTGCGTCTTCTGAGCAGTACGAGCCTTTTGTACACACTCGGTATCCCAATTCTTCATTTGTCCCTACTTGCCTTGACAATCCTGGGCCGCCAACTGACTGTTCAGCTGGTTGTATAGATTTCTGTGAGCAAAGCTCAGGGGACATTACCTGTTGTGCCTGTTGGGTCCATCAGTGACAGCTATATTTGGAAAAGATAGCCTAACACGTGTGCGTGGACGGACAACCAGCCACAACGGACCCCCTTAGGTAGTGCACTCTCCATACAAAGAGCACTGACACGTAATTTCCAGGACTGAGCAATATGAGAGAGCAGCTGTCAACTCCCACTGAAGGTTCTGGAGGTCCCCCTTAGCAGGGAATTTTTCTCTCGGACCAGATGATGTCATGGCAGTCCAGATTTCTTAATATTCCCATACTAGAGTTGATCTGCGGATGATCAGAGAACTCAAGACATGACAGTTACACAGATAAACTATGGGTGATGGACAGGTGAAAACTACCAGACGGATAATGGACTGTGCTGCAATGTCTATAGGTCGCCGCAGTATTCGTCAATCAAAACACATATGGCTTTCACCAGCGGTACGCACATCAATGTGGGTTGAACTTTCCTACCGGGATTTGGACCTATGTGTGGTCACTTCCCTCATGTGACTGTCCCATTATAGGCCTTCTGCAACCTGGTTGTCCCTTAAATAGGGACACTTGAACATAACGAGACTTCATCTCTGGTTACCTAGATATGGCATATGGATTGAAGAGCTAGTGCTTGCAGAATCGAGCTTACGGAGAGTCATTCTGGTTTTCAAAGAGGGTATGCGAGCACTATGTGTGGACCACCGTGGCACCAGCCTGGTGGCCGTGGTATAGAAGGGGCTCTCTGGTCATTAGAAGGTTGATTGATTGAAGCGAGAGATAGATCCGTTAAAACCCTACTGGGTTCCGTCCTGCAAGAGGATGCATTGATTACATTTTCATCCTACGACAGGTTCGGAACAGCGACACTACTAGGAGCTTGACTTGAAAACTGCCTTTGACTCTCTGGATTGCCAGGCAGTGTTTATGGAACAAAGTTGTCTCCCATATGTTCTTGTTCCCCATTAAGGCCTCGTACGCCAACTTCGGCGGACATGTGTAGGTCTACTGGAAGCCTTCGGCTGAGTTCACTAGGAGTGTCAGGCACGGCTATGCTATTTCATCTTTCCCCTGGAACTTTTCTGTCGATATGGTCATGAAAGATGCACGTTCAGCCTGTGTGGTCGAAATTCTCTCAGGGCGTTCGCTCAAAGGTATTGAGTACGCGGATAGTATAGCTCTTCTTGGA